TCAAGCCATTTGTTAGTAGCAAAGGCCAAAGTGGCACCTCTCAAAACACTAAGTCTACCACGACTTGAACTGTGTGGCGCGCTTCTACTCGCAAAATTAGCCTCAACTGTGCAAACGCATGACCAATCAGAAATTATATCTATGGTCAGACTCAGAGATCGTCTTAGGTTGGTTAGAAAAACCACCCCACTCATGGAAAATATACGTTTTCAATCGCACAGCCCAAATACTTGATTTAGTTGGGCCAGCAACTTGGCGACATGTAGCCAGTGCTGATAACCCCGCCGATCTTGGCACATGAGGTTGCAAACCCCTGCACCTCGCCACCACCTCACTCTGGTGGAACGGCCCCAGCTGGCTAATAGAATCACAACAATTCTGGCCACAATCCTCCATACGCAACATAATTGCCCCAGAAAGTCGAAAAGTTGAAACCTTTCACACAATATTGGATGACACTGACATCCTAGAACGACTTTCCTCGTTCCCCCGTGCCCTAAGGGTAGTCGCCTATATGTTCAGATTCGTAGAGCGCCTCAAAAATAAGGTGAAGAAAACACCGAATTCCCCAGATAACATGTTAACGCATCAAGACCTACAAAAAGCAAAGGTTTCCCTTGTTGCATACACTCATATGCGCTATTTCAGCCGCGAAATGTTAATGCTAAGAGAAAAAAAACCAATTCACAAAAAGAGTCAAATCTTAGTACACAATCCATTTTTAGACACGAAAGGTCTGCTTCGTGCTAATGGCCGGCTAGCGAACTCCAGCCTCACCTATAACGAACGCCACCCCATAATAAAACCAGAGAAAACCCCCTTTGCAACACTATACCTCAGATTTCTCCACTTATTAATGCTACATGCCGAACATCGCCTCATGCAACAAATAGTCCGACAAGAATTTTATATTCCACGACTAAAGCCACAGATCAAAAAATGGATATTTATGTGTAAAGTCTGCACTATACATAAGCAGAAGATGCGCACGCAGATCATGGCAGCTCTTCCACCTGAACGCTGCACTTTCGCTCTGCCGTTCACTACCACTGGTGTTGACTTTGCTGGGCCTTTCCAGATAAAGGTTTCCATGTTAAGGACTTCAACCTATACGAAGGGTTATGTGGCGGTCTTTGTATGCTTTACGACAAAGGCAGTACACCTCGAGCTATGTTCTGATCTGACAACTGCGGCTTTTCTAGCGGCATTTGCTCGCTTCGTCGGACGGCGAGGATTTCCATCCAAAATAATGAGCGACAATGGAAAAACCTTTGTCGGAGCCAAAAGAGCCACTGAAAAACAATTTATAAAATTTATAGAAGAAGTCTCGCCTGAAATCGTTAAAAAATACGCACCCCAAGGCATTGATTGGCAATTTATCCCACCAAGTGCCCCACATATGGGTGGTCTATGGGAATCAGCTGTAAAAAGCTTCAAAACACATTTTAAAAAAGTCGCTGGCACACACAAATTTAACTTTGAAGAATTTACTACATTATTAACCCGAATAGAAGCCGTTCTTAACTCACGGCCCCTCCCTGCGCTCTCGCAAGATCCCTCCGATTTCACTGCCCTCACCCCTGATCATTTTCTTAGAGGAGCTCCACTTCTGGCAATACCAGAACCAGACGAGCAATCCTTATCTTTAATGAATCGATGGGAACGAATGAAAATTCTCCATCACGAATTTAGCCGTCGATGGAAGGGAGAATATCTAAAAGACCTCCATAAAAGATACCGATGGAAAAACGCTCAAGAAGCGCCAAAGATTGGAGACTGTGTCTTAATTCATGACGAATGTCTTCCCCCTACGGAATGGCGACTCGGCCGTATAGACAAAATATATCATGGCTCCGACGGCCATATCCGCGTAGTTGATCTCCGTACACAAAGCGGCATACTCACTCGACCGCTCGTCAAGCTATGTTTCCTTCCAACCGCCTCTCCTACCGATTACGCGAATACCGATACCTAAAATCATCAAACCGCAATAAACGTAACAAAAACCGAGAATATCAAAAGTGCCTAAATCCGGACCCTCGAACTCATACCAAGGGGCTTACGCCTAGCAATCATATTCATAACTGCTTACACCTCTGCTACACTAAAGTCCGTTCTCCCCTAATGTAGGTAAACATGGACGTGGAAATGCATGAAGCCGCACCAACTCCAACTCTCCGTTCGGCAATCACCGTGCCCCGCTCGGCAGCACTGCCAGTAGCAGCTCCGTGTTCTGCTGCGCCACGTACCGCAACAGCCCCGGCCGCAGCGCCACGCAACGTCACGCCTTGTCCCGCCGCCGCTCCGATGGCACCACCCCGTGCTGAGCTTCCACAAAAGAGCCCATCAGAAATGCAAAGCGTACGATGCCCGCTATGTAGGCGCCCACACAATCTGCGCCTATGCTCCATATTTAGGAGTATGCAGCCGCCGCAGCGC